AACCCGCAGGCTCAGGCAATCACTCACCTCAGCCTCCCAAAGGCACGGGATTACAGGCTGAGCCACCAAGCCTGGCTTTTTCTTTTTTAAAGCTGGGTGTGGTGGCACATGCCTATAGTCTTAGAAAGTCAGGAGGCTAAGGCAGGAGGAGTGCTTGAGCCCAGGAGGTCCAGGCTGCAGTGAACTATGATCACAGTACTGCACTCTAGCCTGGGTTACAGAGTGAGATCCATCCCTTAAAAAAAAAGAAAGAAAGGAAAGTAAAGAAAGAAATTCTCAAGACTTCTCATTCCTTCCTAAGGTTTCTGTCTTCAAATATTCAGTAGAAATAGCTGTTTGCTTGCTCCTTATTGCAATTGTCACATCTTCTATTGATAATGGCAGCTATAGAAGTAGATGTTTAAGTTTGTGGATATTTTTAAACCTCCCACATAAGACAAACAACTACAAATATGGAAACTTTCAGTAACTTACTAAATACATCTCCTCTATATCTCCTGTCTTCATGCTTCTCCATCTCAAGCAGGTTTCATTAAATCCTGAAATGTTACCGATGATCTGTTTTACTGCAAGGGGGAAGAAATAAGAAGTCAATGTGCACTCTATACAAAAATATAATACCTTTTGACTGAACCATTTTCCAAGGAGAATTTGCAAAGGTTAAGTTCAGCACTACTCTAATTTAGAAACTAGTAGTAGCAGTCTCAAAGAAACACCACTTTTGTTAGGTAAACTCAGTCCTGATGAAGGATTTTAAGATCCAAAGATACCTAATCGGAGGACCTCGCTTAAAAATTATCTAAGTCGCCGGGCTCGGTGGCTCAGCCTGTAATCCCGCGCCTTTGGGAGGCTGAGGTGAGTGGATTGCCTGAGCCCGCGGGTTCGAGACCCGCCTGGGCAGCGAGACCTCATCTCTACCATAAATCAAAAAATCAGCCGGGCGTGGTAGCGCATGCCTGTAATTCCGGCTACTCGGAAGGCTGAGGCGGAAGGATCGCCGGAGCCCAGCAGGTCGAGGCTGCGGTGGCCGGGAGCGGCCACTGCACTCCAGTCTGGGCGACAGT